TAACAAAAATATACAGCAATAGCAAGCACATGATCTTAACGTTGAATTGTTGAAGCACGAAAATAGTCAAGTATATAGAGATAGCAATAGYCAATATCATTGGACCTTGTTGGAGATAAAAAAAAAATTAGAGGGGTAATAAACAATATCATATAATGAATAACCAATTAATTTTTTTTATTTTCTTCTCTAATGTAATTAGTTGATATATTTTTGGGCTACTAAATTATTTTTGTCTCTTATTATATGCTACAATTTTTTGGTTTCTTTAATTTATTAAATTCTTTTAGACTACTATATATTTTAAAGGAAAAAATTTGGGCCCCTGATATTTTTGGGCCGCCCTCCCCCAGGGACAGCCCTGGGTTTATCCTAAAATGTATAGTTTGTTGTCTGAAAGTAAATCTGGCTATTTTCATCTATTATAAGTATTCTATTTAATCGTTTAGAACATTTTGTTCCTTATTCAGAGTTCTTCTGGTTTAGTTAATCGCAGTCATCATATTCTTTCTTGAAATAGATACATTCATGGCCTCTCAAAAGTATTTGGAATTATAGCAGAATGGTTACTATTTTTGGTATACTTTAATTCAGTAACCACAGTTCAAATATGGATGCTTGTTATAGAATGGAGGATGTAAGAAGTAGAATGCTTAAGTGTGGTGTTCAAAATGTGAAGAAATTAATGTCATTGTTTGAGTTTGGATTAACTTTCTTATATCAAGTGGAGGAAATTTTGAATTTGTTCTAACCTCGGTGTCAATATCTCGGATGTTTATATAGACAATAGATCCTTAACTTAATCAAAGATGTTCCATTTTGATGCGAATTTGTATTCATGAAACCATCAGTTCCTTACCTTAATATAAAGAGGAAGAAAGATRTAATGTTGAATAATATTCAGGAAATCTTGTATATATAGGATTGCTAAGTTTTTTCTGGTTTGGGTGCAGAAAGTGCATGYTATTTTTCTCCAAATGTAYGCTCACCCGGTTCTAGTTACGAGTCTAGAACCATTCCTGAGTACTTCCCTAGATCTCCAAATGATGGTTATGGTTCTTTGGTTACTAAGCAAATTATAACATTTTCATCGTCAGGTTTCAAGGACGCCAATCCTGACACCACCACTTGTCACTTGACTGAACCTTCGGCCTTTACTCATCGTGTTTCTTCGGTTCTAAAACAGCTTACATTCTCACCTTGCTCTAGTTTGAAGGATGCAAATCTTGGAAACATTTCACAGCACAATCATGTTTCCCCGTTACAAAGACAGCTTATATTCTCACCGGACTGTAGTTTGGATGCTGCAAATGTGAGTAAAGAAAGACAACAAGTTTTTGACTCTCCAAATGCCAGCCATCCTTTTTCTGCGGTCCAGAAGCAACCTACTCTATCATGGTGTTCTAGTT